CTGGTCAAAGCAAGTCACAAGGCCAGATTCAAAGGGCTGGGAAATAAACACCACCTCTGTATGGGAGGAAGTGCAGAAAATTTGTGGTCATCTTTAATATACCACACAAGGGGCATTATTTTTATTGCATTCTGTGCATGCCAAAATCCAGGCTTAGACAGTTTTACTATCCTGCCAAACACCAGCTAAGTATAAAAGCAGGAGCTAAGCCCAGGTCTGCCTGAACTCCCAATTCCTCTACTCCTACTATACCATAGCATCTCAAGTAGCCTTCATTTCCCTCCTTTCCATTCCCTTCCTTCTCCTCCAAGCAGAGGAAAAGGCTGAAGGTGCAGGATGATTCGTACCTGGGTTGTGTGCCACCATCTCTGGCTTGGTAACTAGTATCTTAGGGAAATAAGGCTGACAGTAGGATACATTTTAAGTGATTATTTTCATAACTTTCTTTCTTGTTTTCTTTTCTTTTCACCAAATATCGTGGTGTTCAGGTTGCATCTCTTCTGCTTATTGGCCACATACTAGGCAAGGCACTTAACCACCCTGAGCCTCTGTGTGCTCATCTGTGAAATGAGAGTAATCATTCCTGCGTCTGTGAGTTGTTGTGAAGTTTGAATGAGACAATAATGTATGCAAAAACACTTTGAAAACTGTAGGGCACGCTCTGGCAACGTGATGAATTATTTATGCCCCTACTCAGGGTCAAAAAGGAAGTGCAGTCACGCTGACTGTGGCTCTGACAACTCCAGGTGCTTTCAAGGCTTGTCAACGCAGTGCAGGCTTCACACAAATGGGAAATCTAATAGACTGCTCTCTGCAGTTGGCTGCATTTCCAGCCAGCGCAGATATGATTATAATTAGAGTTTCAAGAGTTCTGTTTCACTTCAAAAGGATTCCATGGCACAGTCTGCAGTCTACCTGAGGTATGTGGCCAGAAGCGGATTCCTGTGGCAGGTGTTTTCATTTGGGCCCATTTGCTTTTTTTTTTATTATTTTAAACACTATCAGGAGTGTCTGTTCTATTATATTCATTATTTCTCAGATGCCAGGTGAGAAGAGATTTTCCACGTATAAGTTTTAAGACGGTCACCACTGAGCAAAATGCATAGCTCTCGTTCCCCCGCTCACTCCCTAAATGAACAGCAGCTTGGACAAACTCACTTTAACAGAGCCAGGCCTTTTATTAGCAGAGAATAGTCTGTAATGGGAGGAATGACTCTGCCCATGCATCTCTCCCAGGAAAAACATTCGTTAACCTGTCAAGGAAGTGAAACCTCTTACTAGAAACTGTAGAAAAGTCAATTTCTTCATTCTCGCTGCTAAAAGATTCAGAACATACCTCACCGCAGACCTTAAATTAACAGCGCAACTAGAAGGAGAGCTGAGCCCACTGGAGTCAGGCGGCGATGGCCAAGTGCGCAGGACTCCAAATCAAAGCTGAGCCCAACCTGGGCGTTCACTATTTCAAACCCCAATATCTGCTTTTCTACAGGGTCCTTTTCATCGTCATAACTATTCCCCAGGCAAAGTGATGATAGTGGCAAATTCACCCAGTCTTCAGAGACAAATGACTTTTTTTGGCTTCTTTTTATCTATCTAATGATTTTCCAATTTTAGCCAGCAGTGCTAAGGAGCCACAGCAGTCGCAAGAGTCCTTGGTGGGATTTCTCTGAATAAACTCAGAAGAAAAGCCCAGATCTGTTAGTACAAAGAGGCAGGTTGGTCTTGAACAGCCCAATTTGCTTTATATTCGTCCTTCTAAGCCATGGATTAAAACAAATGCAAATACGTGCTGGAGTTGAATTTTCAGGGGAAGGAAACAGCATCCAAGGTTTACGATCATTGGAGTCACTAGGAATGGACACTCCTCAAGGACAAATTTCAGTAAAGATTACCTTATGCCCCATGCTCACCCAATGTTCCTGCTACACTGCACTATTGTGAGTTTTCAATTCCTGCATCTCATCCAGACTAGCATGCCATTGATTTTAAGAAACAATTATTTTAAGAACCAATGAGAAAGAAAAGTTGCCACTAACTAAAATGTGGAAAATATGGAGAAATATATTATACCATGCTCTTTCAGACCAAGTCTGGTTTCTCTCTTGTTTCTCCTTTTCTTCCACCTGCTCTGTCACAGTCTCTCCAAAACCACGTTCCACCTAGCATTTGACTGATATTTACCATCCAGTTCATGTGATTTGGGGAAGTATATTGTGAGCCCCCTATGCACAGGGATCATATTCTATCCATCTGGGGGCCCGTCAAAGCCATGTGAGGACACAATATTTATGCCCTTTTGCACCTTCCCCCATGTGAAGATGCAGCAAGAGGCACCATTTATGAAGCAGAAAGCAAGACTTCACCAGACACAAAATCTGCTGGTGCCTTGATCTTGGACTTCCCAGCATCCAGAACTGTGAGCAATAAATTTCTATGATTTATAAATTACTCAGTCTAAAGTATTTTGTTATAGCAGCAGGAATGGACTAAGACACCGCCCAATCTCCACCGTATTCTTCTTTGATTGTGAGCTGCGTGTCATGACCATTTGCTACAGAAGCTGATTGCCTGGCTCAACAGAGGGCACTGGTTGCTTTACACCAAAATAAGAAGTGGAGCCACGTCCAGAAGTGGAGACTGGAAGAGAGAGGAAGCAACGTGGGTGAGACGACTGAGCTGGGAAGCAACTGTAGGTGCATCCGTTAGCCCTTTGTAGGGATACCTCAGCGACAGACAACTGAAGTGTTACTCACGTGGCTCTCAAGTCAGCGCACTTCAAGCCAGTAAGCATCTCTTCCCTCCATTCTCTGAGCCAGGCACTGTGCCAGGCACTCAAAGTTAGAGATGGTAAGACCACATTCCTGCTCTCAAGGAACTTATGGTCTAACTATAAACTCTGAAAAATGAAGTTCCAGAAAGATAGGTACCTCGTTCAAAGTCACACTGTTTGTAAGTGGCTGATCCAGTATTTGAACACAGGTTTTTTTTTCGAAGCCTCTCCAACTACCCCAGATCTTCTTATCACATAGCAATATAATTACTTATCATTGTTCTTCAATTGCAATTGTTAAAATTTATTTAGTTCCACCCAACTTAATGGTGATTAACAGAGACATAAATCATGGTGTAAAAGTATATTACAAATGTTGAAAATATTTCCATGTATTAAATATATTTGACATATTGAAAATAAAAGTGAAATTTGTTATCTCTGGGTGAGTTGAGTGATGTTTATTATCTTTTTTATACTGTACTGTATTTGTAAATTTTTCAAACATGATATTACATTGTGTTCATATTTTTGAAAAGTTATTTTTTTAAATGAAACAAATTTATATGAAAATGCTTTTAGAGCATAAAGTGCTCATAAATGTCAGCTACTAAACTCCTTGCAATGTAGGAAACTCTCCAGTGTCATGCATGAGGTTAAAAGCACAGCCAATCGACCTTGATAGTGGATGGTGACAAATGCACCAGCAAGTGGGTGCTCTTGGAGCCCAGAAAGACCATGGTCATCAAGATTTCACTCTCTCAGATTTGGAGAGCCTCTCTTTGCTGAGACAGAGGGGACAGAACAATCAAGGCCAAAGCATCACCAGACATTGCAGTGTCTAGAAAGGTGAAAAGTTCTCCTTCCTTCATGGGAAAGTTCTCATTTTATAGAAGGTTTTATTTCTTTCTGTCTAAAAATGCCCAGTTGTATTGCTCACATCTGTTATCAGCCAGCTTCCCTCAAGGAATCCTGGTGGGGATTTGGTTTTAATGACACTATACATGTGAATTGGGTCCTTGGCTCCTTAAGCAGAGGGACGATAGTGAGCCTACTGCCAGGCCCAGACACCCTGGAACAACTTCATGTTGGGTGTAAACCTTCCCATGCCTCCTTAGACACAAACCTGTGCTAATAAGTGTCCATTCCTCTCATTGCAATGAGATCTAACAATTTCCTTTCACATACCTACTGATCTTTGACCAACCACTTTTGTATAGGAAAATAAAAGTCACTTTCCTTTAGAAAAAGGAGGCTTGGGCTTCCCCAGCAGTTCTTTAAATCAAGGCAAGTGCTAGAATCTTCTAGAAATGTCAGCCTAGCGGCTCTGGACATTCATACTTATCATATATCAAAGTAGTAGAAGGGACATATTCCTAACTTAATTTAATGCCCTTCTACGCACTTATCATGTTGATGCATGCTTTCCAGTAGTGTGCTTTATAGCTGCGAGGTGAAATAATATTTTACAATGTGTTATGATTTCAAAGGCACACTCAGTTTCACTTTTATCTCATTTAACCATCACAGCAGCCCTATGGGAAACATATTATTACCTACTTCATGAGGAGGAAACCAAGGCTCAGAAAGGCTGCATGGTGAGTCCAAGAATACAAGGTCAGGACTCAATCCCAGATCTTACAACTTTAAATGCCAGGCAATTTCCACCGCTTTTCCAAAATTAAACATTTGAACCTGGGTCTCCTGGTATGCAAGAGAACGTGTAATACGGGAATGATCTTATCCACGATGAAGCAGAAAGGAGAGAAAGAGGGGAAGAGAGAAGCTAATATCTATTGAGCTTCTACCTTGTGTGGGCTATTTTCCTTGTACTATCTCATTGAAGCATCCTCTCTTTCTCCCATGTGATTGAAAAGAAACAGAAATTAGCAAGATTAAATTACTTTCCCAAATTCACATAGCTCACCAGTGCAAAACTGGACTGACATCTCTAGGCCTTCTGATTCCCAAACCCACAATCTTCTCGCCACATTTTATATTTTAGTACAGCTCACAGTGCATTTACACACAGAGAAGATTTTAAAAGGCAAACAACAAATAAAAGTTCTCTCTTTCGGAAAGATTGATGTTCTTAACGACAGACAGACAGACACACACACACACACACACACACACACACACACACACATACGCACACACTTTCTTTCCCCTGGTCCCTCCAGCCCAGTTTCCCTGTGACACTGCTGACATATTCTTCTGCTCTCCGCAGGGTGTGTGCTGGTGGTATCCGTGATTGACCAGCTGGCTCAAGTTCACAACTCAACCGTGGAGGCCTCGATGGAGAGACTATGCAGCTACCTACCTGGTGAGTATGGAAAGGGTCATGCCGCCAGGCTCTGCTTGTCTTCCCACTCATGGGTCAGCATGACTGAGTTTGTACCCTGCACGTGCTTATGAAGCAGAATCAGGTCGTGTTGTTTCCTTGGGTGGATATTCTTATGGGGTTCATAGAAATTAAAATGGAAAAAAACAAACCACTCTAGGCAATTTCTCCCAGACATTCATTATCATCATGACAGAATGAAATTGCTGTGGACATTTAGGGAATAAAATGTTGAATGGCCAATTGTCATTTTATATGTCACATTAATAATGATTTGCTCACCTAGCAATCATTGCCTTAAGTACTAAGAAATCAAAATAATGGATAATTTTCAATAATTATTTTGTTAATTTGACCAACATATACATATTAAGATGCATACACAGACCTACCAACACAGAGTTTTAGACTAGGAAGACAACTGATCTCAAAAACCCAATGGAAAAATAATCCAGAACATTCCATTGATTTCAACTGGCTTATAATAAAGTCCCATAAACATCTTGCAAAAGAGGAAACTGATTGGTGGTTCAAACAAGTTGTATGTTTGTTTTTCAGTGTTAGCAGAAAAAAATAGTTAACTCTTTCCCTCATAGAATACTGTTACTTGAACAGTCATAATGAATAAACTTCTTTGAGAGTCAAAATTTTATTCTCTTAATGGGAACTAATTCATCAAGGACGCCTACGTTATTTTTTCTGTTAAGCAAGGTAGTTTGGCTAATGGTGGTTTTATCTTTGATAATACACAAACTCATGTATTTATAGTGTCCCAAATGGACCATTGTAAAGATTTTTACATACTTACATCAAAATTACATCTTTCTGTTGTGAAATTAAACCATGACAGATAAACCTGAAACCCTTTGGCTTCCCCTACGCTCTGTTCCATTCTCCCCCCACCTCCTTAGAAGGAACCACCCGTATGAACTTAATGGGTCCCCTTCTTGTCAGATTTTATACTTACGCATTCACTTGTGTGAATCCATAAACAAAGTATAGTATTGTTCTGCCAGTGATTTTTTAAAATCTTTTCTTGGTAAAAAGAAGACAAATGCAGAAAATCATGTAAAGCAAATGTATAGCTTCATCAGTTTATGAAAGGTGAGCACCTTTGTGAATATACAGAGTTTACAAGGGTAACGGACAGATAGAGAGCACCCCTAGAAGGACTCCCCCTTGTCCCATCCCATCCTCCCTCTCCTGCAAAAGAACAATGTCCTGAATTTTATGGTAATCATTTCTTTGCCCCTCTTTATAGTTTTATCACCCATGTGGCATCCCTGGACACCATAACCTTGCCCAGCATTTAATTTTTTGATGTGTCTTTAAGTCTATTTTAACTTGCAAATTTCCTTTCCACTCCTTCCTTTTTCTTATGATATAGCTGTGGAATTGGACCTGTAGAGTTTCCCCCAGTCTGGATGGCGCTGGTTGCATTCCTGTGTTTTAATTGAGTCTGTTTTTCTGTGCTCTGTATTTCCTGAAAATTGACAGCTTGACCAAAGACTTGATCAGACTCCAGTTTGATTCCTTTGGCAAGAGTATAAGTGGGTTTGTTTTCTTCCTTCAGAAGGCCACAATAAGTGGCTTCATTTTCTTTCTTTTTGTGATGTTAGCAGCTATTGATGTTAAATGATGAGATTTATTAATTTATTGGGGATTAAAAATTGTGACATTCTAATCTATCATTCTTATCTTTCATTTATAAATTCAGATATTAGATAATTCCCCCTCTTCCTCATTGTACTTTAGAAACATTTTTTTTTCCACAGTACCTAGTGGCATTGTTGGGAAATGCCATATAGGAAAGGCAGGATAAATGCTTGATTCTTTTCCTTTATTTATCAGTTTTCAAAATAATGCATTGGTTTTCTATTACCATCTCAAAGCAATCAATTAGTTTTCTTTAAAATATCATCATGAATTTAAGCATACGTGATGGGTTTCGGTCAATTGCAATTATTATCCTTCCGAAGCTCAAATGGTTCCATTGAGCTTTGACCAGTGGCAGCCTCTTCAGGTTGACTCCTGAGTCCTTCTGGCGTGAGCCTAGGTAACCTCACTAACTGGCACGACAAGGTGTTCCAGCCCTGTCTTATACATTTCTAGCCACAGGCTTGAAATTGATCATTTCTCTTAACATCCCCATTTTCTTTTGGTGAGAAATAATATTTCAAGACCACGATCTGCGTGTTCATTGCTACTGAGTTGGCCATTCTTTCTAGGCCTCACAGTGGGCAGCAATAGGAAATATCTGTATGTAAATTTACATGAATCATTTTTAAGATAAAATATCCGAGGAGTTCATACTGACATTTCAAATTCAAATTCAGAACTACAGATTTTTTTCCTTAATCTCTTCTCTATTATAGCTGTATCTCCTTTTTTCCACACAAAGTCTCTCTTTTCACACAAAGTTTTAGTTGCCAAGGATAAAGGAATTGATAGAATTAAAATATCCCATAATTACTCCTTTATGTATCCCTCATTGTACATATAACAGTCCCAAAATATCAGTTCTAACGCTGCCATTATTAATACATTTTATCTTTATTGAGAGCAGTTAAAATTATTTTTTGCATATGCCTTTCCACTTTCTCTACTTTGTTTTGTCATTATACTACATTGTCTGAGCATAGAATCATTACATAAAATACTTGTTTCTTTTTTGCTCTCATTTGATCTTAGCTCCATCAACAACTGTGTGATTAATGTTCACCACCAGCCCTTATGTGGATGTCTCTCTACTTGAGTTGTTGTGTAAAGTTCATTCCTCAGGAAGAGTTCATGAGAAAAACATTCCCTGACTCCTTGCATGTTGGTAGTAGACTGTCTCCACCCTTTATACCTGAAAATCAGTGTTTTTCTGGATATAAAATCCACGGCATACAATTTCTTTCCCTAAGCATCTTAAATATATTATTAAAAAAAAAAAAAAAAACTACCGATAATCTAATTTTCTTTTTTCTTGTAAGTCATTTGCTGTTTTTGCCTTGAAATTCAGAGGATTCTTTTTCTTTTTCCTATAAAGCTTAGTTATCTAACTAGAATATATCTTGGCGTTAGCTGTTGTATATTGATGTTCTCAGGCATGCAGTGTACTCTCTCAATGTAATTTCAAATATATATTTTCTAATTTTAGGAAAGTTTTTAGCATTTGTTCAGTTTCCTTGGTTTGGTTTTCTTCTTCTGGGATTTCTTACTTATATTTTGAAGTGTCTTTGCCTGCCTTCAATATCTTACCTATCTCTTAAATACCTTTTATCTCTTCATTTTTTTGTCTTAAAATTGTTCTTCCTTTTCACCTTCTGTTTCACTTAAAACATCATCTATTTTTTTTTTACTGCTTTTGTGTTCATTCTAGTTTAGATTTCACTTCTTTGTTAATTTTTTAATTCTTCCCTGAGTTCTTTTATTCCATATCTGAGTTTTTCTAATTCTGATTTCTGCTGTTCTTTCACATCTTACACCATTTTATTAATGCCTCTTAGCTCGTTTTGAAATAATATGCTGTTTTGATATCTTTTTTTGGCATGATTTTCTGGCATGCTTCTACTATCTGTAGGGATGTTATTCTGTTCCTTAATCTTTTTTTTTTCTTATAATAACTTTGTATGGGAGTTGACCCAGATACATTTCTGCTGCTCATTTTTATGTGAAATTCTTTTTCAAAAACTCTTAGAAAGAGAGGGGGTTCAGGGTAGTTTTTCTAAATGCACAGAGCCCCTTCTTCTGTTGTTTTGGGGTAGTGTTTAAAAAAATGATGGCAGCTTGCTTTCTGGGGTTTCCTGACTCCGTTCCCCCACCCACTTTTATCTGGACTTTCTATCTTCTTTCTAGTCGGCTCAATTTTTATTCCCAACCCAGCAGTTTCTCCTCAGTGTGGGCCCTGTCCTGGGAGGGAGCTCCTGTGGGTCTGTTCCTAGAGTTTGTGAGTACCAGACCACTCCAGCCCCTTCCTCCTTCTAACCGTGAGCTCCCTGCACTCACCAGCTACTGCAGTGGGCAAAACCCCTCCCAGTTTCAAATGCTGCTCTCTGATTGGCCCTATCTCAACAACTGTCAGCCATTCATGGATTCTCCTGTTCTCAGGTTTATCTCACATCCATCACTTTCCTCTACTTTCTCTGCTACATAAGTTGATGACCTGTAGGTCTTGTGGTTGTGAAGTGGTTTAGTCTTACCTACTTTCATGTTGGGGTTCATGGAGATACCTAGTTTTGTTGTAACTGCTATCTATGGGTTTTCGGTTTTGCTACCCAGGTGCTTTTGTGTGTGTATGTGGAGATTCAAAGAGATTCCAAAATTCCACTGCCTCCACCATCATCTTTCCATAATTCTTCTCTGTAGAGGCTTTAATTTTACACCAACGGCCTGTTATATGCATTGCTGTGCAACTTTTGTTTTTCACTCAACATTATGTTTTTAATATCTATACATGTTAACATATATAGACCCAGGTCAAGCCTCTTAATTGCTCTACAGTTCTTTACCATATAAATGCTCTGTGTTTTATTTATCTCCCTATTATTGAACATTCATAATCTGTTATGAATGTTACTTGATATTTTCACAGCTATAAGTTAGAGAAGATGAGAGAAAATATTACCATTTTACAAAAGGAAAAAAGTGAAGAACAGTTAGAAGTATCTCTAGGTCTTGCTTTAACTGGTTGACATTTCTGTCTGGTAGACCACACTGACAGGTATAACCATTTGTACCTTGAGTTTGACATTCTCTCTTTAAGCAAGTTGTAGTGTTCAAAGGTGAAAGACTGACTAAAACTCCTATTTCCTACATTATCCCCTCTTCTTAATGTGCTAGCAAAATATAAAACAACTTGAAACAGGGTTTCTGATTTTCAAGGTACTACCTTGGTTCCTCCTGGCTTAGAACAGCAGATGTCAGAGCCTATGGAGGTCAAACAAGAGGCGAAAAGGCAGATTCTGGTGAAGTGGAAGTTAACATTTCACCAAGGG